CACTTATTCACTTATTGACTGGGCGCCAACTCTCGGTTAGGTCCTGTGTGGTACATGGGGTGCAAAGACGAAGAGGGCAAGGTCCTTGCTCTCCAGGAACTCACAAAGGGAGACAGATAATTAAACTCAAGTACAAAATGGTGAAGAAGGGCAGTGACAGGAACATGCACCAGATGAGACAGGAACGCAAAGGACTCTTCTGGCTGCAAGAGATGAGATCCCAAGTGTACAAGCTTAGGCCGAAAACTTATGGGCTCATAGAACCAAAAGGAGGGAGGGAAGAGGAGAAGGAGGATGTGAGCAGAAAGAATTCGTGAACAAAGGCAGGGAGGTGAGAAACAGCCTGGCGTGTGTGGAGAGCCACGAGAGTTGGTGTAGCAGGGGCGTAAAGAACAGGGGATGGAGCAGCAAGAAGATGGAGGAGCCCAGGGCCATGTGCTCTACTCAAAACCCATACTCAATAGCAACTCTTGTAGGGTTGGGAAAATGGCAACTGGCTGGGTAGGCAGACTCAATGTCTGCGTTTCCCTGCTTCCTTACAAACAGAACCACAATTCTATTGGAGGCTGGATGCAAGTGAGATGCTGGAGGTGTGGCTTAAATGCCAGGACAGGGCAGGTGAATGTCATCCTTAGGCAATGGGAAGCCGTGGAGGGAGAGAAGAAGTTACCAGACAGAGGAATGCAGAGGTGAGATTTGGGTTTTGACGGGGTCGTGTTGACTGTGGTATGGAGGATAAATTGGAGAGGGGCAAGACTGCAGCCAGGGAGTCCCACTAGGAAATTGTTGCACTCATGCAGACAGGATCGTGGTGTTGTGCACAGGAAGGGTACCATGAACGTGACCAGACAGGCTGTATCAGAAAACAGTGAGGAGTTGAAATTGGTACGCTTGTAATTGACTGGAAGTGGGCAATGGTAGTGGGAAGTGTGAAGGGCGACTCCCTGGTTTCTGATGGAGGCAACTGGGGTGGCATGCCCCATTTACTGAGCTGGTGTGGGAAGCTGTGAGCACAGGCCAAATCCTGGGGCCAAGAGAACCCAGGTGCCGCTTGTGGAAGGCTCAAGTCCTGATGATTCAGGTCCAGCCCGTGGACGGCACGAGGCTGGTAGCGGCACCTGGCACACCTGGCCGGAATTTTCCAACTGCAAGCTTCCTTTGCCCCGCCCCCCTGCCTGGCCTATTTAAGCTGTGAGCTCAGCAACAATAAACGAGACTTGATCAGACTCCTGTCTTGTCTCCATTTCTCGCGTCTCCTGCCCATCCATCCCCACTCCCTCCCTTCGGGCCCTTGTTGTCGTCCTGCAGGTCGGGACAAGCTGGGTTATGCAGGAAGAGCAGATTGGAGGGAGGTGATCAATTCAGTTTGGGACACACTGAGTTTGAAGGACTTGTGAACATTCTAGTGGACATGGCCAGGAGTCAGTTGAATATTTGGGTCCAGCACTGCACAGAGAGGTCTAATATGGAAAGGGAAATACAGGAGCCATCAGAATTTAGAAGGACATTGACGGTGGAAACCATCGGAGTGGATGAGACCCCCCCAAGGGAAAGTACCTAAGGCAGCAATCCTCAACAAGATATTCATCAGGTGGCATAGCTCCCTGGGACAGTGTTCAGAATCACCAGGGAGGCTTTTCCAAAACTGCATACCCCACCCTCAATTCCAGTAAATACGCCACGGAATGTGACTCAGGGGAACACTGTTACCGATGAGGAGGTGACCTCAGGTACTAAGAAATCTGAGAGTGTTAGTGAGAAGAAAAGGGGGTCAAGATAGGCACAGAGAGCAAAAAAAAGAATAGTCCAAGAAAGAGGCCGAGAAGGAGGAAAGGTTTGAGGAGATGGAGGAAAGTGAGGTTCCCTGGGTGTTGGGATAGAGCAGTCATTCTCTAGTGTGCACCAGAGGTGCTCATGAGAAATACACATCCCTGTCTTTCACCATGCTGGCACAGTAGGGCCCTAGAATCTGTATGGTAAAGCGTTATCCAGGTACCACCCATGGGGTAGAGAAGTTCATTTAGATGGGCATGGTCAACAGGTTCATGCCAGCAGTGGGGGCTGGGTCAGGTAAATTAAAGACTGAAGGGTCTATTGGATTCCACTCTTCAGGAGGTCACTGGTAACCATGGAGGAGGAAATTTCAGTGGTGTCGTGGGAGTGGAAGCCAGATTGCTGTGGGCTGAAGAGTGAATGGGAGGTGAGAAAGAGAAGACAGCAACGGCGGACCCCTTTTGGAAGAAATTTGGGTGAGAGGCAGAGGCGAGAGCATCCTCCCCCTCAAAGGCTACCTTCCGTCTCCTGGAGAAAGTTGGCAAAGAGGATGAAGAAAATCTGGAGGCTGAGTCAGACATTCCACCGACCATCAGAATGCATCAGGGAGGCATCTTGAGAACCAGCAAGGACCTAGCACGCTTCAAGCTGCCAAGTCTCCGAACCAAACCCACTGTGCCTGCCTCCTGTCTACCCACTCCAAATCCAGTCCACCATCTTCACCACCAGAGTGATCTTTCCATAACACAAACGTGACCACGTTTTGAAACCCTCCAACAGCCACTTTGCACATTCTTATCTCACCCCAGGGAGCACTCAAGTCCTTGAACCTGGCATTCAAAACCCTTCTGACTACTTTCCTACTTCCTTCAGCATCATCACCCCCATCACCTCCCACCTACACCTACATTCCACCCTCCACCCGGACCCCATGGAGCCACCCGAAGTTCCCCAGTGAAACCTGCTGTCCCACCCTCACTTAGCCCCTGGGGTCATCTTGGAGTCATGCCAACTCAAGTACCACACTCCGAGAGTTAGTTACTCCTTCCTTGGAGAGAACCAGAATCTTGCCCACACCTCTACCATAGCATTGGTAGAATGAATTATTCTGTATCCATTTGTTCATATGGCTGTCTGTCCACTGGACTGTGCCATCCATGGGATCAAGGTCCTCATCTTACTCTTCTCTGAATCACTAGCACCTGGCTAGAGCTGAGCTCCCAGTAGATGCTGTAACCGCCCAATGGATTCACCTTGCCCGCTGCCTAGACAGAGCTGATGTATCAAGACAGGGAAATTGCAATGGAGAAAGGTAATTCACACAGAGCCAGCTGTATGGGAGACAGTTTTATTATGACTCAAATTACTGAAACAGAGGTGCAGCGGTGAGATTTGGGTTTTGGCAAGGTCATGTTGACTGTGGTACGGAGGATAAATTAGAGAGGGGCAAGACTGCAGCCAGGGAGTCCCACTAGGAGATTACACTCGTGCAGATGGGATTGTGGTGGTGTGCACATGGAGCGTGCCACGAACATGGCCAGAAAGGCTGCATCAGGAAACAGTGAGGAGTCGAAATTGGCACACTTGTGATTGACTGAAAGTAGGCGATGGTAGTGGGAAGTGTGAAGGACAACTCCCTGGTTTCTGAGGGAGGCAACTGAGTGGGGGGTGGTGCCATTTACTAGAATGGGGAATGCAGGGAGAGCAGATTGGAGGGAGATGATCAATTCAATTTGCGACACACTGAGTTTGAAGGGCTTGTGGGACATTCTGATGGACATGGCTGGCCAGGAAGCAGTTGAATATGCTCCCAGGCATTCGGGGATAGGAGGTTTTAAAGATAATTTTGTGGTTAGGGGCTTGGCAAGCGAGGCGTGCTGACTGGTCAGGTCGAAGATGGAATCCTGGGGGTTGAAGTGAGGTTTCCTTGCTGTCTTCTCTTCCAGGGTGGGATCACAGAGCTGTTTGAGCCAAATTACTCGTCTGGGTGGTGTCAGCTGATCCATTGAGTGCAGGGTCTGCAAAATATCTCAAGCATGGATCTTAGGTTCTACAATAGTGATGTTATCTCCAGAAGCAATTTGGGGAGGTTCAGACTGTGGCAGCCAGAGGCTGCTGTGTGACCCCTAAACCATAATTTCTAATTTTGTAGCTAATTTGTTAGTCTTACAAAGGCAGACTGGTCCCAAGCCAGGAAGGGGTTTTTTGTTTTTTTTGTTTTTTTGTTTTTTGGGGTTTTTTTTGGAAAAGGGCTACTATCAATTTGTTTCAGAGTAAAACTATAAACTAAATTCCTTCCCAAGGTTCATTTGGCCTATACCTCAGAATGAACAAGGACAGCTTAAAGGCTAGAGAGGCAAGATGGAGTTGGGTTAGCTCTGATCTCTTTCACTGTCATAATTTCCTCAGTTATAATTTTGGCAAAGGCAGTTTCAATTTCAGTAAATGTGGCAATGGGGTTTCACCCCAAGTACTCATCACGATAATAAAAGATTTAAACTACGGAGTACCCAGCTGACCCTTTGATCCACTAATAAATAATAGAATCTGCCAGTTCTTCCCGTTTCCCCTTTTCCTTCTCCCCAGTTGCACCAGTATTTTCAGATTAATTTTCCCTCCCAAGGGGAAGAAAAGGCAGACTCTGGACAACCGTGTCTTAAGTTAGATGATACAAATGTCTCCTAGTGACTAGGGCTAGGTGACCATAGGGTGTGGAACAGAGGAAGGAGCCCCGAATTCCTTCTCCAGGGTGATTACCTCCATCCTTTATCAAGTTACTTAACTTCTCTAAACTTTAGTTCAGATGGGATGACGAATATTATTACCTAAAAGTTTTACTGTAGTGAAAATCAAGTGAGATATTAATTGTAAAGCCCTATATAAATGCTAGTTATTATTAGGCTTTCCCAGACCCCAATAACGTAGTGACTAAGTGTCACAACACTAACAAGTTGCATTTGTTATTTAAAGTGACTAAAAGAAACTCCCAAGGCAGTGCCGCTTTTCTAAGTTTGTTTCCCTTAAAAAAAAAAAAAAAACTTTAATGTTCCCCCTGCTCCTCGGGCAAGCTTAAGACAACTATAAGTAAAGTCCCGCCTCCCTGGCCTCTAAACCACGCCCTTTTCCGTGCAAACGCCTGATTTGTTAGGGCCTTTTACACTGATTGGCACTTTTCTCCACCAATAAAAAGTGAAATTCCCGTCAACGTCCGGTGGGGGGGGCAGGACTTCCTTGCTGGTTGCTAAGACACTCTTGTTTCGCTCCTTGACAACCCTGGCGGGGGTGCGCTGGCTGCGGCCCCGGCTCCGGCCCCCGCGGGAGCAGGTGAGGCCCCGGGGTGCGGCGGGCAGCCAGGCGGGGAGGGCCGGCCCGGAGGGAGGGCGGGAGGCAACGCCGGGCGGAAGAGGCCTCGCCCGCCGCGGAGGCCCCACCTCAGTCTCCTGTCTGCTGTTCCCTCGCCTTAGGTTTTCTCACCCTCCACCCCCACCATCACCCCGACTTCGGGACTTGTGAGCTCTGTCGTGACGGGTTTGCCATTGCGATTCTGCCGGCGGCTCTTCCCCACCCACCCGAGGCCTGTCCAGCTTCGCGCTCCCGCGTCCTCCCTTAGCCGACTCCCCCCACCACCTTGAACCTCCCCCTTTCGCGGAGTAATTCCCTCTGCCGCGGCTGGGCCTGGGGTTGCCATCACCTCAGCTCAGACTGCTCTTGGCTTGGACTGTTGGCGACGTACTGCGATTCCGGGCTGGTCGTTTCCCCTCTTTGGGCCTCAGTTTTTCCATCTGTAAACGAGAAGTTGGGTTGAGTGATCTCCAAAGCCTCTTCCACTCTGACGTTCTAGGCTGTCGTTGGTTCTGCGACCCAACTTTAGGCTTCCGAGAGGATACGCTCCCCAATGGGAGATACCGTGTGTAGTGAAAATAACTTAGCAAACCTGATTTGGATTCCTAGTCTCAAGATGTACCCTCCCTGTGCTCTCATCTGTCCATACGTAAAATAAGTATACGACGGGTGCATCTCCTTTGGGAATTCTGAGGCTACTAGGAAGTGCAGGGTCCAGTCCAGTATAGATTCAACATTTGTTAATTTCCTTCCTTTGTCTCTTCACCACATTTTCCCTCTGTGGGAAATGTTACCAACCCGCTCGGCATGAACTGTGCTTTCTCCACTTGACCCTCAGATCCACATGTCTCTCTCTGATCTTCCTCCTGGGTTTCCATGTTAGGGATACTTAGGGGTGGGGAGTGGGACAGATAGAGATTGAAATATAGTCATGTGCCATATAACATTTTGGTCAAGAAGGACAGCAGATAACCACGGTGGTCATCTAAGGTTATAATGGAGCTGAAAACTTCCTATCATCTAGTTACATAGCCATCATAATGTCAAAGCAAAACGCATGACTCACGTGTGTGTGGTGATCTGGTGTAAGCAGACCAACAGTGCTGCCAGTCATATAAAATGTAGTGCTTACAGTTGTGTACAGGACATGATCCTTGATAATGGTAATAAATGCTACTGGTTTATGTATTTACTATTCTAGACTTTTTATCGTTATTTTATAGTGTACACTTCTCTTACTTATAAAAAATAAAATTCAACTGTAAGCAGTCTTAGATAGGTCCTTCGGGAGGTATTCCAGCAGAAGGTGTTGCTGTCATAGGAGAGACAGCTCCGTGGATGTTATGCCCCTGAAGACTGTCCAGTGGGACAAGATGTGGTAGTAGAAGATAGTGATACCGAGGATCCTGACCCTTATAGGCCTACACTAAAGTATCTGTGTCTGAGTTTTTAACACAAAAGTTAAAAGTTAAAAAAATAAATAAGGGCCGGGCGCGGTGGCTCAAGCCTGTAATCCCAGCACTTTGGGAGGCCGAGGCGGGTGGATCACAAGGTCAAGAGATCGAGACCATCCTGGTCAACATGGTGAAACCCCGTCTCTACTAAAAATACAAAAAAATTAGCTGGGCATGGTGGCGCGTGCCTGTAAGCCCAGCTACTCAGGAGGCTGAGGCAGGAGAATTGCCTGAACCTAGGAGGCGGAGGTTGCAGTGAGCCGAGATCGAGCCATTGCACTCCAGCCTGGGTAACAAGAGTGAAACTCTGTCTCAAAAAAATAAATAAATAAATAAATAAATAAAAGCAGCCAGGCGCGGTGGCTCACGCCTGTAATCCCAGCACTTTGGGAGGCCAAGGCAGAGGGATCACTTGAGGTCAGGAGTTTGAGACCAGCCTAGCCAACATGGTTACACCCCGTCTGTACTGAAAAAAAAAAAAAAAAAAAAAAAAAAATTAGTCGGGCCTGTGTGGTGGGCGCCTGTAATCCCAGCTACTCAGGAGGCTGAGGCAGGGGAATCATTTGAACTGTGGAGTGGAGTTTGCACCGAGCTGAGATCGAGCTACTGCACTCCAGCCAGGGCAACAGAGCAAGACTCCATCTAAAAAATAAAAATAAGTAAATAATAAAAAAGTTACAACAGTGTCCAGTAACATCCTGGGCCTTCACTTTCCCTCACCACTCACTGATTCTCCCAGAGCAACTTCCTGTCCTACATGTTTTATTCATGGGAAGTGACCTATATAGGTGTATCATTTTTTATCTTCTTTACTATATTTTTATTGTACTTTTTTTTTTTTTTTTTTTGAGGTGAAGATTCGCTCTGCCACCCGGGCTGGAGTGCAGCAGCACAGTCTCAGCTTGCCGCAACTTCCACCTCCTGGGTTCAAGTGATTCTCCTGCCTCAGCCTCCCAAGTAGCTGGAATTACAGGTGCACACCACCACACCAACTAATTGTTGTATTTTTAGTAGAGACTGGGTTTTGCCATGTTGGTCAGGCTGGTCTCAAACTCCTGACCTCAAGTGATCCACCCACCTCAGCCTCCCACAGTGCTGGGATTACAAGCATGAGCTTTTCTATACCTTTTCTATGTTTAGATACACTGACATCATTGTGTTACAGTTGCCTGCAGTATTTAGTACAGTAACGTGCTACTCAAGTTTGTAGCCTTGGAGAAATAGACTGTACCAGATAGCCTAGGTCTGTAGTAGGCTACACCATCTAGGTTTGTGTAAGTACACTGTATGACATTCACACAACTAAATCGCCTAATGATGAATTTCTCAGAATGTACCCTTGTCATTAAGCAATGTGTGACTGTGTTGATGTGATAGTTGGACTTGATGGCTTCCCTCCTGCCCCTGATAATCCATGACTTGGTGATTTCTTTCTCCTGACTAGATACCTCCATTTACGTATCTTGCCAGGAATTTAAACTTGGCAGTTGTGAAATGAAACTGACCTGTCAGGCTCACACCTGTAATCCCAGGACTTTGGGAGGCTGAGGTGGGAGGATCACCTGAGGTCAGGAGTTTGGGACCAGCTTAACCAACATGGTGAAACCCCATCTCAATAAAAGAAAAGAGAAAAAGAAAATTAAAAATAATTTAAAAATAAATAAATAAGTAAAAGAAACTGACCTACTTCTCTACCCAGCTGTGCCACCCAGTTTCCCCTCTCCCCATCAGTGGCATCACCATCCTCCTGGGCATCATTCCTCACTCCACCGTGCCCTTTCCACTCGGGCAGTTATCAGATGCTTTCGACTCTGCCTCCGTGAGGAGCTCACATCATCTCCATTCCTGAAGCCCCTACTCTCATTCAAGCCTTTCATGCCTGTGACATAATACCCCTGGACCATTACCGCAGCTTCCTAGTGACTGCTCCTACCTCCAGTCTCTGCTCCTGTCAACCCAGCCCACCAATGTCACCAGCCACCCAGAGACCTCCAAAGAGCTTCCCATTCACTGGGAAAAGTATCCACACTTTTTGTAATCCCAGCACTTTGAGAGGCTGAAGTGGGAGGATCACTTGAGTCCAGAAGTTCAAGACCAGCCTTGGCAACATAGAGACCCCCATCTCTACAAAAATATTTAAGCATGGATTTTAAGGCCCTTCTACACTTCCATAGCCCAGGGATTTATTTCTCCCTTCTTTACCAAATTCTATCTTCTAGCCAAAGTGGACTATTAGACTTTCCCAGGAAACGCTTTGTGCTTTCTGCCTGGCACTGCTGTGTTCATCTGCCTGAAAGGTCTTCCCCACCTCATGCATCTGTCACAGTTCTTCCTCACCTTTCCAGTCCTGACTCAAATGCTGCCCCGGCCAGCAAGCTGCTTTTGCTGTCTTATCTCACCCTCGCCACCTCAAGCACACCTGTCTTGTGACACCGCCGTCTGCCAGGAATCATAGTTCCTTGTATATTCCTGTTGGTCTCCATATTAGATTGTAAGCTCCTTAAAGGCAGGGACTGTCTCTTACTTATAGTCAAGTAGGTGAAAAAGCATAATCAGGCTGAGCATGGTAGCTCACGCTTATAATCCCAGCACTTCGGGAGGCTGAGGTGGGTGAATTGCTTGAGCTCAGGATTTTGAGACCAGCCTGGGCAATGTGGCAAAACCTCATTTCTCAAAAAAATACAAAAATTACCCAAGTATGGTGGCACAAGCCTGTAGTGTGCAACCACTGAGCTACTCAGGAGGATCACCTGAGCCTGAGAAGTTGAAGCTGCGGTAAGTTGTAATCATGCCACCATACTCCAGCCTGGGCAACAGAGTGAGACCCCGTCTCAAAAATAAAACAAAAAGCATAATCTTTGAAGTCATATATACCTGGGATCAAATCCTAGCCCCTTTGTTTATTAGCTGGGTGGAAACTCACTCTCTTTTTTTCAGTCTGTGTGGATATACCAGTAACGTAGAGATAATAGCACCTGACAGAGTGACTTGGGGAGGGACATCCTGTGTGTAGACGCCCATTCTGATGGCCAGCTCAAGATCGGTGTTCAGTAAATAGTCTTGAATGGACGTGATAGGTCCTCTCCCCTCCTAGGGGCAAATGAAATATAGTTAATTTCAATTTGGATAATTTCTGGGCTTCTGCCACATGCCAGACACTGGCCTTTATGTTCTGGGGCATCTAGAGGTAAATCAAGTCCCTCAGCCCCAGGGAAACTGGACTCGCAGACACAGTGAAGTCATGATTGGTTGTGAGATGTCACTGGCAATTAGCAATTGTGAATGAGTTTCTAAAAAATAAGTCCATGCTAAGTCCAATTTATTTCTGTGATAATGTCACTCTTACTCCCTTACATTCAAATCTGTTCTCTTGAGTGGGAGAGAGTGGGGTGGGAGCCTGCCCTGCTGTGTGTGGCGAGCGGCTGTCTCTCTGAGAGCTAATAGCTGTGATGGTTGGGACTTTCCTTATACTGTGTCTTGACAAAACTGTCTGGGATTTCATCCAAGTTTGGTTAAGTCCATGAGGGTACATGTGTGAGTCAATGTCACTTATCACGTGGTGTCGGACATGAGGAAATGTTGAGAATTGCAGATCCAGACTAGTCAGCAGGCCTCTCTCCTCTCCCTCCTTCCTCTCCTTCCCTCCACTCCTCCCTCAGTCCCTGGTGCATTCAGTTTTCATTGGACCTCAGCAAAATGAGAAAAATAAGGACCACGTAAAAACAACGACTTCATGTGTTTGGCTTTGAGGAGGGCTGATCTTTATTCTGCCAAATGTTCCTCTTTTGTAGATGATGTGTCTTCTAAGGCCCTTTTGTGGCAGAATTTTCAAATGGCAGCTCTGTGTCTGCCCCCCTACTTTAAACTGGTCTGGGAGCCTGGCTTCTGCTGCATTTCCTGACCTCACTACGGCCGTCTTGGACGAATGTCCTGAAGTCCTTAGGCCCCCTTTTCCTCCCCTGCCAGCTTTGTTCTTTATTTGTTTGCTAAAAGGCCAAGGAAGACTGAAGTGCCGCCTGTGTCCCTGGTGTGGTGGGAAGCAAGAGGCAGGCCTGGACAGAGGCTGGCTGGGGGATGCCGCGTTTTGAAGTCATCCATGTTACTGCCTTGTCTCCTGCTCGCTTGTGCCAAAGGAGAAAGCACAGAGCGTGGAGACAGAAGAATGGATTGGGGTTCAGATCCTGGCTCTGACATTGCTGGCTGTGCACCCTCAGGCCAGCCATAAAACCTCTCTGTGCTCCAGTGCCTTATCTGAGAACAGGGAGCTGGAGCCTTCCCTCACACGTGTGACAAGGATGAAATGAGATGGTGGATGTGAAAGCACACGTAACCACACCACCACCACCTTGGCACCCAACAGGTCTCACAGAATTGCCTTGTGATTCTTTCCTCGTTCGGTGCTAGCACAGTGGTTTGCACATAGTGGGAACTTGGGAAATAGTGGTTTGTTTGGCTGCAGGTTTAGATGTAGAACAGGCTGGTTTATGAAGAAAGATATCAGTTTCCTTCCTACTGCACCCATAACAGGAGCTGAGTCCTTAGCCCCAGTTTCCAGATGAGAAAACTGAGGCTGCTGGGTGCAGTGGCTCATGCCTGTAATCCCAGCGCTTTCGGAGGCCAACATGGGTGGATGGCCTGAGATCAGGAGTTCGAGACCAGCCTGGCCAACATGATGAAATCCCATCTCTACTAAAAATACAAAAAATTAGCTGGGCACAGTAGCGGGCACCTGTATTCCCAGCTACTTGGGACGCTGAGTCAGGAGAATTGCTTGAAGCCAGGAGACAGAGGTTACAGTGAACCAAGATCACGCCATTGCATTCCAGCCTGTGCCGCAAGAGCGAAGCACCGTCTCAAAAAAGAAAAAAGAAAGAAAGAAAAGAAAATTGAGTCTTAGGGAGCTAAGCCCTTGTCTGAAACAGAACCAAGATGTGAATTCAGATCTGACTATGAGTCTGTCCTGAGACCACCATGACGTGTTCCAGGTGTGCCCTGCAATCTCTCAGGTGCGTGGTGGGTGGTACTGGGAGACGAGCCTTGATCTAAGGGCTGAGGATGTTCCAAACATTGAGTGGCTGCCCCCCCTCCCAGAGGGCTGGCAGTTACTTGGGGCCTTATTTCCCAGAATGCATTCCTTTTTCCTGATCCCTCCCACATACCCTAACCCTCTTCAGGATTCTTCCCAGACACACAATAACGAATGGTGACTGAGGTCAGTGCCACAAAAGAACAAGGGATAGCAGGACCAGGAACACTGGCCTGAACCAGGGGATGAGATAAAGGGCCCTTGCCTGTGCCCCCTTTTGCCTAGGAAGAGCCTCACATCAGACAGGGCGAGGCTGTGTAAAGCCCACAGACAGCCTTCGAGTGAGGAGGAGAGCAAGGGCAGTGGGAGAGAGAATAAGACTGCCCCTGGCTTTGCACTGCTGTGGGCCAGATGGGCTGGGGTTGAGCTTCTGTACCCGGCAGATTCAAATACCCTGGCCGTGGGCACAATTACTTTTTTTTTTTTTTGAGATGGAGTCTTGCTTTTTCACCTAAGCTGAAGTGCAATGGCACAATCTTGGCTCACTGCAACCTCCACCTCCCAGACTCAACCAATTCTTCTGCCTCAGCCTTCTCAGTGGCTGGGATTACAGGTATGTGCCACCACACCCAGCTAATTTTTGTATTTTAGTAGAGATGGAGTTTCACCCTGTTGGCCAGGCTGTTGTCCAACTCGTGACCTCAAGTGATCCACCTGCCTTGGCCTCCCAAAGTACTGAGATTACAGGTGTGAGCCACTATGCCCAGCCACAGTGACATTATTTAAAGGCTCTTTCAGACCTGACACAAAAGCATTCAGGCACATGCTCCTTTGCATGGAAGATTGATAAGGTTATTAGAACCTCTAGATCTGCTATTTTTGGTAGCATTCTTTCAGCAGAGTTTTAAGATTGTGGCTGAATGACTCTAGCTGTACTCTAATGATATAGAGTCATAAAAAATTCTCCTGCCTTTCTGTATTTGGAAACATATCTTCCATAATGATTTCTTTTTATTCCCTCTCATCTCTTTTAGGTCCCCAGAAGTACAACATAGTGGTTAGAAAAAGCTCTTTGTCATCATGGTCCCTAATGAACTTGGTTGAGTCATGGCGGCCGAGTCCTGGTTCATTACATGGTGGTAGCAGAGAGCAGTGTGTTAATAGTACAGAGAACTTTAACATTTCCAGTCACTCACATGCACATAGCTGGGGCTTGCAACAGCTTCCTGAGAATGCAGAGAGAGGATTTAGTATCCCATTTCACAGAGAAGGAAACCAAGGCTTAGGTTCAATTACTTGCCCAAACCTACCAAGAAAGGAAGTGAGCAGAATGCGTGTGTTTTATAGAGCCGGGGTTCGTGCCTCCATACTCTGGTTTGTGGCCCCACACGGTTCTTTGCTCCTCAAGGTGCTGCACAGGTCACCGTCCCACTGGCTTTCCCACGTTGTTCCTGAGAAATGGGCCTTGGTGATACCGCTGAAGTCATGTGACATCTCAGCAGGATCCTACATGTGAGAGCAGCTGTCACGGACCCTGGCCTCCTTGAGGCAGCATGTCCACAGTGGATGGACTCCTCATTCCCTCCTGGCTCCTACATGCCAGCACTTGGCTAGCCTCGAGGATGAATGAATGAGATGGAAGTATTCCAGTGGGAGATGCCCAAGAAGCTGCTTCCACATTTTAGGTTGCTCCCCCTTGAAATTCTCAGAGGTAGACAAACCGTGTAGCCTTTTCCTTCTATCGTCAGTATAGCCACCACCTCTGTCACAGCTGGACGGATGTAGAGGAGGAAGCAGCAAGGCTAGGAGGACAGCCTGGAATTGGAAATAGGCCTTCACATTCATGAGCAAAGACAAAATGATGCCCTGAATTTTGTGAAATAAGAAACCTGACCAGAAAGTACAATGAAATTGGTTGGTTATTCGCCAGCTGATAGAGACAAAAACTGCTAACGTCTGAGTGGTACAAATGCCCAGAATTGATGAGATAAGTGGAGCCATCTGTCCACTGGGAAATCAGAAAATACCAATGTCATGGGATGGTAGAGTCTGTGCCAGGCTTCCAGCCTCATGTGAGGGAGCTGGCCAAATGGAGCGGCACTGAGGCCTTCTGCAGCATTGGAGAGGGGAGAAAATTGAGGGCACAGAAGGCACAAGGCTTGGCCAAACCAGGGTCAAGTTAACATTAGAAAAAGGCACAGCGAAAGGGAAGAGCAAACACTGGATTTGTCTCCCTTCTAGGATGATAGGAGCTGTCTCAGTGGGCAGTTAATGAATGTTTGTGAATGCCTCCTGTGCGCCCATGAGGAGCCATGTGGCTAAGGAGTTAGTAATGCCTGCACCGAGAGCCAGGCCTGGATTCACACCCCAGCTCTGTCACTAATGAGCTGAGTGACCTCCGGCCAGCGACTGACCCACTTCATGCCTCTGTCCCACAGGAGCTAACTCCTGGGGTTGATGTGGTGAACAGCTTCATGCCTCTGTCCCACAGGACCTGACTCCTGGGGTTGATGCCCTGACCCACTTCATGCCTCTGTCCCACAGAACCTGACACCTGGGTTGTTGTGGTGACCAGCTTCATGCCTCTGTCCCACAGGACCTGACTCCTGGGTTGTTGTGGTGACCAGCTTCATGCCTCTGTCCCACAGGACCTGACTCCTGGGGTTGACGCGGTGACCAGCTTCATGCCTCTGTCCCACAGGACCTGACCTCTGAGGTTGATGCGGTGACCAGCTTCATGCCTCTGTCCCACAGGACCTGACTCCTGGGTTGTTGTGGTGACCAGCTTCATGCCTCTGTCCCACAGGACCTGACTCCTGGGGTTGATGCAGTCACCAGCTTCATGCCTCTGTCCCTATAGGTTCTAATTCCTGGGGTTGATGCAGTGACAAGCTGTGTAAATGCCTGTGGAACACTGACAGGCAAGAAACCTACAGCCGTCACCTGTCAATATCCGCCTGTTGATTACCGTGCTCAGCATCTTTGGGTTCCATGACCGTGCAGTGTAAGTAAATTTATTTGGAAATGTGAGAAATGCTGGAATAACATTATTTTGCTGTATTTGTCTAATATAGATTATTTAAAAGGGCTTAACAACCTGGTGATTTGTATTCATTTATGTCAGTACTTCTGAGATTAAAAAAAAAAAAAAAAGCCTTTGAATTATCAGATAAATTGAATTGAGGATGAAAGAGAAATGCCGGAATTGCCAGCAGTGCCCCCAGTCCTCAGCCCAGGCCCATCTCTTTAGGAAAAGCCCCGTCGGTTAGAGCACAGCCGTGTATTGACCACCTGCCCTGTGCCCGAGTGCCCGCCCTGTGCCTGGCATTGTCTTAGTGCTTCACACGCACTGTTTCATCAGATTCTCATAACGGCCCCTTGAGATTGATGTGACCGTCCCCGAGGTACTGGTAAGGAGTCTGGGGTCCAGGGCCATGCTGCTGGTGAGTGATTGAACCAGCAGCAGCACCCAGGCATCCCAGCTGCTGGGCCAGTGAGAAGGACCCAGTGGTCCAAGAAGGAGTAGGAAAGAACAGCCAGGGAGCCTGGTGTGCCAGGGTGGGCACAGAACAGCAGCATTCTCACTCCCCTGAAGATCAGGGGCCTACAGAGGAGCCCCCTCGCCAATAAGCCCAGACTGTCAGTGGTGACCTGAACATTTCCCCTCCTAACCTCAGCATCTGAGAAGGAAGGCCCACGTATGTAGTGGGCATGCAGGGAAGCTGCATTTGTTCATTGCCAGCTCAAGCCTCCATCCCGCAGGCCTGGCCTGCAGTCAGTATTTGTCTTGATAACGACAGTGTGGGCTTGCAGCATCGTACCAGTGTGTTCTTAACCAGGCCCCAGCATCTCGTGTTGACTCATCCTCCTGTCTGCAGACTTGCTGGCCATTTGGAAGAGGGTGCGGAGGAGTTAAGACGGGGAGGTGTCAGCTTGTTACTGAGACATTTCTAATTTGTCATGTATGGTTTCAAAGCCAACTCTTTTCTTCTGGTTTTTCCTGTTTTCTACAGCACCCCCCAGGGAAAGACATTTTCTGCTCCCACCAAGCTGGCAGGGCCTGCTTCCTGAATCTCCTGGGTGTGTCTTAATTGCCAGTCCCAGCACCTCCTGAGAGCCCCACTCTCTCCTCCAGTGGTCACAGTGGAAGGATCATGGGAGAAACAGAAGGGAAGAAAGATGATGCTGATTATAAGCGACTTCAGACCTTCCCTCTGGTCAGGGTAAGCCCCAGGGGAGGGAGGCAGGACGGCTGGCAGGGCCCACACAGGCTGGAGAGAGGTGGGTGGAGCTTGTCCCTTGCAGGATGGCAGTGGGAGGAAGCTTAAGAAGGGCTCTGCTGGCTCAGACCTAGACATCATGGAGTTGACAGTGATTCATTCTTTCATTCATTCATTCATTCACCAAGTATTTATTTAGGCCACCTACTATATGCCGGGCACTGTTCTAGGCACTGTGGAGATGGTGAACGAGACAGGCGAAGGCCTGGCCCGTGTGAAAGATGTGTTTAAAGAACATAATTTTAGGCAGTAAGTACTCTAATGAAAAATGAAGCAGCCGTAAGGGGCTAGAGAGTAGAGGTTAGCTTCTGGAGAGGTTTCTCAGATCAGAGACCTGAAGACAGAGATCAAACCTCACAAAGACCCGGGGAAGAACATGCCAAGCCGGGAAACAGAGAAACAGGAAGCCTGGGATGAGAATGAAGGTGGCATTTTGGAGGCACAGAGAGAAGGCCAGCATGGCTGGAATGGAGTGATGAGAGGGATGGCAGGATGCATAACAGCATTGGTGGGGCAGGACCCCACAGGCCTGGCCAGCCACCGTGAAGAATGTGCGAGAACTGTGGGTTCTGTCCCGAATCGAAGTGGGAGCAGAGAAGGGTTTGAAGCAGGGGAGTGACGAGATCTGTTTGATTTTTAAAAGCCCACTCCAGCTGTTGTCAGCAGAATGGACTTGGGGATACCAAAGCAGAAATGGGGAAGGCCCAGTGTGATGAGGGTGTCTGGGCGCTGCTCACAGGGTGGAGTGTGAGACATGGTCAGGTTCAGGATGTTCTGTGAGTGTAGAGGCCCAAGGACCTACTGACAGCATGGATGCTGGGCATGGGAGCAAGAGAGTCCAGGATAGCTGCTGGAGTCTGTTTTTTCCTGAGTAATGGGAGGAAAAAATGGTATTTATTACCAGAAAAGGGAAGATGGAAGAAGATGGGTTTGTGGGGAATCAAGTTATTCTTAGACATCTAAGTGAGGTTGTCATGTTGGACACAGTAGTTGGGAGCCCAAAGAAGAGGTTAGAGTTGGGGGTGGGAGTATGGGAGTCCTCCCACGAGAGGACACAGAGAGGCGAGGAACACACGAGACCCCAGAAATGGAGTTGCTGGAGACGGGAGTGGAGTGGGAACGAGGGCCCTCCAGGAGCTGGGAGGAGGAAGGGAGTCCAGCACATCGATGGAGAAGGAGCAGATGGAAAGGCTGGAGAAAAACCAGGGGCCCCAGAGCACCCAGCAGCCTCTGCAGGCCTCGGGGGTGAGATTCATCGGAATGCACTTCCGTAGCCAGCGTTCCCTTCTTCCCGTATCTGTTGGCTGGAACCTGGTGCCAGCTTCGCACCCTTGTAGAGAGCCTGGGCTTGAGAGCCCACAAGGCTCAGCTCCACGCCACGCCTTTGCCCCAGCTGCAGGGGTCAATCAGGAGATGGGTCACCTGCCCAGGGCTATGCCAGGGAGGCTACCTGCTGTCCATGCCTTAAGCTTGGGACAGAGAGGCCAGCCAGGAAGGCCAGGTCACGGGCTAAGCCTGTCTCTGTTTGTCACCCCTGCCCTGTCTCTAGCACTCGGACATGCCAGAGGAGATGCGCGTGGAGACCATGGAGCTATGTGTCACAGCCTGTGAGAAATTCTCCAACAACAACGAGGTATCGCCAGCAGTGCAGGTGGCCCCTTGCGCCTTTGGTGGCCCCTGTGGATGAATAGAGTGGCCCCTGTTCCCTGCAGTCAGCTTCAGAGAGTACTGCTAGGATGAGGCCAGAGCCCTCCTCAGAAGCGTTCAGTGTGGGGAAGGTCAGTGAGGGAGAGGCTGGCACTGACTCCAGGCACTGATGGTCACACCCAGCCCTAGAGGAGCAAAGCCACAGGGGCCATGTTCCCTGCCTCAGGTGGGCTGCTGGATAGGACGCCTTTCCCCGTGGTTCCATCCCAGTGGTGAACAGAGGCCTGCCCAGGCATTCATTCATGCATTAATTCATCCATTCAGAAAGGTGTTGAACAGGCACTGTTGTAGCTGCTGGGGATATCACCAGCAGGCAGCAAGGCAGGAAGGCCATTCATCAATCTGGTGGGGAGAGCAAGAAGTCAGTGTTGCAGCCGGTGGGGAGGCGAGACTCTGGCCAGTGGGAGCCCAGGCTTGGGGTCGGCCAGGCCCAGGTTCAGATCCTGGCTCCAGCCCTTCCTAGCTGTACCCTTGGATGAGCTATTTCTCAACGCTGAGCACAGTGTCCTGGTCATTAAATGGAGGGTGGTGATGGTGCCTCCTCACTGGGCCAGTTGTGAGGACGTATTTACTGAGACAGTGGGGACAGAGTACCCACCGTGGGGCCGAACATGGTGAGAGGCGCTGTTGGTGCACATCAGGCACCTGCGCCTGGACTCGCCCTGCTGAGCAGGGGGCCCTGCCCCTCCAGACCTCCTCACGCAGCGGTGGGGGAGCATCTTGAAAGAGCAGGCACAGGAGGAAGTTGCCTGTGCCCATGACCAGGGCAGCCAGCGCCTCCCCGGAGCCCACTGAACACATCAGGCACCTCACAGTCTGCAGGTCTCAGTCCCGTTGGTCCTGACACCGCCTGGTGCCCCACTTACCCGGGTTACAGCTGAGGGAAGCGGCGCTGCCAGGAAGCCCACACTAAGTGCAGAGCCAGAACGCGGCCCCAGGCTGTCTGCAGACCTGATGCTTGCCTGCCCGCCTCAGCCAGTTTCTTGACTGCTGAGGTAATGTCTAGTTTCCTGTGCCTGTGTAACAGACCTGTCAGGAGGTGGCCTGCGTGAAAACCCTTTCTGAAGCAGGAGGACAACAGAAATAGGACAGGGGGCCTTCCTCCTGCCAAGACCTTGGTGTCATCCTCCTCCTCCTCCCTGGAGAGGGACTTGACTCCCGCCGCCTCCTCCCCTGTGCCCCCTGATGAGCACCCTCTTCCTTCCAGAGCGCCGCCAAGATGATCAAAGAGACGATGGACAAGAAGTTCGGCTCCTCCTGGCACGTGGTGATCGGCGAGGGCTTCGGGTTTGAGATCACCCACGAGGTGAAGAACCTCCTCTACCTGTACTTTGGGGGGACCCTGGCTGTGTGCGTCTGGAAGTGCTCCTGACACTCTGTCCCCTGCCCCGCCCCCCTGCAGGGCCTTTTCCTGCCATTCATCTGGGGTGGGGAGTGGCCCCAGGCGGGTCCTGGTTTTCCCAAGGAGAGTTGGGGTCTTTTCTTTCTGTCCTTGTGTACCGGTTTCCTGAGCCACGCCCCGTGTGTGACCTTGACATCTCCATCCCCAGGCTCTCAGCTGTCCCCCTCAGAGTCTCTGGGTGTGGACAGGGCAGCAGGCATTGGTCTGTGCTGGAAACGCGGGGTGGGGCAGTGTGACAGGGTAGAGGAGGTGGGGGATGGGATTTTCCACACAGGAACGTGCCAGAGCCCTTTCCTGAGGGCTGCTTTCCCTTCGAGTCCCGGGAGCCCCACTGCCCTGCCATCCCCTGTACTGCTGGGAGGTGTCGGCCATCCTTGTCATTAGTGGCTATAAGAAAATGGCCCCAAGAAGGAGACGCTTCTTTCAATGGACACAGGCAGCTTCTCTCCTTGTCCTCTGGGGAGGTGCTGACCCCGCAGAAGCCCCTTCCCCCAACTTGACCCCAGGCTGAACAGACCACTGCATCTCACTGGGCCATCAGTCCCCTAGTCCCCAGCCTTGGTGGGGACCAAGCAGCCTTTCCTGTCCTCTCCTCGACCCGTGCAGTTGAGAGCCAGGGGCTGGGGTGTGGGAGCTGCTGCTGGCAGTTTCTCAAGGGGTCACCGAGCCTCTGGTGGGACACCTGGGCAGGAGTGCTCTCACCCCGAGGCTGCTTCCGCAGGGAACCCTGGCCTGCCTGCGACTTCGATCAGGGACCGCATGCCGATTTGTACTGCTCTCTGCTGGGTTTTCTATGTTGTTTTTGAGTGTGGGAGAAGGGTTTTAGTAGAAGGGTGAATCGTATTTTACACAGCGGTCTTATTTATATAAATGTCTTGGTTTTTACAATTAAAACTACCAAAAACTGACCTCATTCTACAGTCTTGATGTAAGGGGAAGGTGTGATCAGTATCCTCAAGCTTGGGTGGGTCCCAGGGACCCAGAGATGCTTCTGGCTAACCTGTGAGGCTGCTGGAGGCCCCTGGCCCAGGCATAGCCCCACTGGACCTGGCCGGCCCCTCTCACCATTATGTCACTGAGGATGGGGGCCAAGTGAAGCTGGATGGGGACACGAGATACTCTTGGCAGCTGGACTGAGCTACAGTAAAGACCTTTTCAGGCCCACAGAATTTCGCTTAGTTCGACAGATGCTTGCTTATTCAACAGCCACCGAGGGTCAGACCCCAGGAGCTGAGGTGTGAAGATGGAAGCCACAGATATGGCCTCAGTGAGCTCTGGGTTCACTGCAGAGCATGTGGGCCCCATCATTTCACCTATGGGAAAAGTAACAGTAAAAGATAGGATGGGGCATTCTCGGGGGAGGAAGGAGGCAAGCCCAGCCTGGGGAGTGGGAGTACAGGGGTCTCCAGTGGGGTGAGGCCTGACAGCCAATGCTTGAAAAAAAGACAGGATCTTACCAAGGGAGAGAGCTGCTCTCAGGACAGGAAACCAGACATTACCTCCAGCACGTGGCTTCTGTCCCCAAGTCACTTGGGGTAAAAGCAGGAGATGAGAAGCGACTTGGGGACAGGAGCCACATGCAGGACTGTGAAGCCCCCTCAGGGGTTGGCCCTCAAATCCACGGCTCAGAAGAGAACACCCGGGGCATGGGCAGAGCAGGAGCAGCCTGCCTTCCCACACACACAGGGACCCTCCTGAAATGGTCCCCAGGAAACACACGGGCCTGGGAGCCAAAGCCCTGTCCCTGTCCCAGTTCCAGTCCTGCCCTTGTGAGACTGAGCATCCAGCACTAGCAAGATCTGTCAACAGTTTGGCTGGACAGCCTCATGGCGAGCAGGTCAGGTTTGCTTAGACCAGACCCGTGCAGCCGAGGGGAAGGTTGCTGCCGTGTGGGACAGACAAGAATGAGAAGGCCAGTCACCGCCTCAAGGCTGGCTGGCTGGTTGGGTAGCTTTCCAGCCGGTCCTGGCCCTTTGGGACTTGGCAGATGGGGTAGCTCCTTGACCTTGGACCTGCCCTGGCCAGAGCCCTGTGCCACTTGGGTGCTGCAGAGGGATTGGCAGAAGGGAGTGAACGGAGAGGCGGGGGCCGGCGCGGGAGGTGGGGAGCAGGCGCTGAGGCCGGGAATAGCTGCACTGATTAACCGCCCGCTCTGCATCTGTTCTCTCCTTTCATCTGCTGCACGTGGGCGCCAAAAAGCGAGGCTGGAGCAGCTGGCAACCAGGGTGCTGGGGGTGGCAGTTAGGAGCATGGGCGCTGAGGCCTGCAGAGCTGGTTCGGGTCCGGCTCTGCTCCTCCTAGCCTCCCTGTCCTCAGTGGCTCTGTCTGTAGAATGGGGATACAGCACACCCACCTCAGGAAGCTGACGGGAGGCCTGGGACCGCGTCTGGAACAGGTGACACCCCCGAGGCATGCACTTTGCTATCACTCTGCCCCTCCTCCTCTTGCCACCTGTGGATGGGGCGCTGACACCAGCTCCTCGGGGTGGGTGGAGATTCAGCCAGATGGGGCTTGTGCAGTGCCTGGCCCTCGCAGGCACACCGTACAGTGGCACCACGAGTGGCCAGCGTGCCTTCGACCCCAGTCACTCCTGTCCCTGCAACAGACTCCTCATTTGCCTTCCCAGAAATGGGTCATTCACAGTCTCCTTGCCTGCTCTCAGACAGCGGTGGGGTCACCGCTGGGCCAGGTCAGGTAACTGGGAACCATGGCAGGCGTGTTTCCCAGGGGTTTCCTTGGCCCTGGTGGCTTTACTTCCACTCCCCAAGATCCATGCCAGACATGGTCACGGTGGCCTTCCAGGGCCCTCGCTGCCTGTAGTGTTCAGTAAGCGTTTGATGATGGGCTGAAAGGAGAGAGTCGTGACGTGGAGGAGGCACCGTCCTGCCAGCCACCATTCAGGCTACTGAGGGCCAGACCCGGGAACAGAGAAGCAAGACAGACTCATTTGCCAGAAGAGAGAAGGTAGGGTTCAGGGAATCTGAAGTTCAGAGAAGAGACACTCTCAGTAGGGGACTGGGGAGGGCTTCACAGAGGAGGTGGCATTGAACCAGGCCTTGGCGGTTTCCCAGGGAGGGGTGGAGAGGGGAAGTTACTGTTTGAGGGAGCAGCAGCTATGCAGAGCAGTGGCTGCGGGAAGTTCCCGAGGGGTTCAGGGAAGTCAGGCAGTGGCTGTGGTTGGGAGAGGATGCGGGAAGGGAGAGAGGATGGGCTGAAGGTGAAGGGGTTTGCAGGGGCTCAGGAGGAAGGAGGCTTCTCCCTCAGGACCTGGATGTGTAACTCAACAGACCTCGAAATTAGGGGTCGCTGTTGCCATTTACAAATGGAGAAATCCAAGCTTGGAGGATGGAGTATCTGTCCCAAGGTCCAGCTAGGAGGCAGCTGTAGCCGGGACTCGAACCTGGGCTGCCTGCCTGGATCGTCCCCGCTCTTCCGCACATGCGGCATTCTCAGATCTCTCTCCTTTGCCTCCTGTCCCGTCCCCCACAGACTAGGACTCCCCAGGGGCGCCTTGGGCCATCGTCTTCTAGTTTATCTTCTGGCTGCTTCCCCCAACATCCCCGGTCCTCCCCTGCACCCTCCACGGCAGTTCCAGCGTTTATAGTGGAGGCAGCAACCACGGGCCTGCCACCAACCCCACCTCTTTGCTGCCATCTGCCATGTGGGGAGCAGGGGCCCCACTAACACCCCAGTCCCCTCTGCTGGGTCCAGCCAGAATCGGTGTAGGGGAAATTGGCAGCCTTGTCTGGACATTAGAGGGAGTCACAGGCCCCATCCCCAGGGCTTGTCCCTCTGCCTGGGACAGCAGTGAGTGCCCAGGCCAGATCAAAGAGAGTGAACCATCAGTCCCCTTGCTGGGACTCCAGAGCCACAGGCCTCCCAAGAGTGAGGGGTGCTGAGCCAGTCAGCATGAGAAGGTAGAGAGGGAGGGCTTGGCCACGAGGCCCCGTGACATCTGTGGAAGTGCACGTGCTGCTTTGAAGCCTTCTGCGCGGCCTGTGGAGAAATCTGGTGAATATTTCATGTTGCCTTGGAAGAGGCACAGAGAAACCTGGCATCTTCCTTAACCTACTTCCTGCTTTTCCAGAGGATAGATCCTACAGGTAGGTGGGGGTGTGCCCTTGGGCTGTGGGGGGCCAGCTCAAATCAGTGTGCCCCTCCCACACACCACAGCAGGAGTGAGGGCTGTGCAGCAGAGGCTCAGCTCCTTAGACGCAGAAGCAGGCAGCGTCTGATTGTGTCCAGGTTTGGGAGGGGGTTGTCAAAGTGTAGTCACAAAAGCCACCACCCTGTCCTAATTTCCTTTCGTTCTCCTCATCTCGTATTTAAAGCAACCACCTCCCACCGGCAGCTGCTATCTCCAATCCTTAGAAAGGCCGTGGGGGTGGGAGGAGAGCATGCCTAGAAGGCAGAAGACTCTAATTATTTTGAATAATATTCCCAAACTATTAGATTCCTCGGCGGTGCCAGGCACAGCACCAAGCATTCCACCAGCTCCATCATCTCTAGTGTGTACATCCATTCCATGAGGAGGTGCCTTTGGAATCCCCCTGGTACAGATGAGGAGAGCCACCATCTAAGTGGCAGAGCCAGGGTTCCCCGAAGGCCTGTGACAGCTCCTAACCCTCTCCAGGGTTGCCTGCCAGCTTGAACAAGCCACTTCGCTTCTCAGATCTCAGTTTTGTCACCTCCAAGATAGGATTCACAGCTCCCGCTACGCCTGCTTCCCAGAGTTACTGTAGGGCCCCCAGGAAACAGTGGCCCTGCAGTGCACAATCTTGGCTCACTACAACCTCTGCCTCCAGGTTCAAGCGATTCTCCTGCCTCAGCCTCCTGAGTAGCTGGGACTACAGGTGCCGACCACCACACCTGGCTAATTTTTTTTCTTGTTTTGTTTTTAGGGGTTTCACCATATTGGCCAGGCTGGTCTCGAACTCCTAACCTCATGATCCACATGCCTCGTCCTCCCACATTGCTGGGATTACAGGCATGAGCCACCATGTCCGGCCCGAGTGTGCTTTTAAGTTGGAAGAGCTGATCAAGGATTGGGTTCAGGGGCTCTGGGGAGCCATCCCCTCCTTGAGCCTCCATTCTGGGTGTGAGGCGTGGGAGTCTGGGTGAGCGGATGGGTAGATGAGTGAATGAGTGGGTGGATGGTGGATGGATGGACAAGTGGGTGGAGGAATGAATGGGTGAATGGTTGGGTAAATGGGTAGATGAGTGGATGGGTGGGTAGATGGGTGGGTGAATGGAAAAGACTTCTTCAGAGCCAGGCACAATGGCTCATGCCTGTAATCCCAGCACTTTGGGAGGCTGAGGCAAGTGGATCACTTAAGGTTAGGAGTTCAAGACCAGCCTGGCCAACATGATGAAACCCTGTCTCTACTAAAAATACAAAATTAGCCAGGCGTGGTGGCGTGCGCCTATAGTCCCAGCTACTCCGGAGGCTGAGGCAGGAGAATTGCTTGAACCTGGAAGGCAGAGGTTAGAGTGAGCCAAGATCGCACTACTGCACTCCAGCCTGGACAACAGAGTGAGACTCCATCAAAAGAGAGAGAGAGAGAAAACAAGGCCATTTGGTTCAACCAGGGCAAGGGAGCCACATGGGCAAGGGGGTCGTGAGAGATGCCTCTGGAGAGGCAGGCAGGGGTCAGATCTTTGTGAGCTTCATTGGCTGAGGCAAGGTGTGGAAATGGGTGGCTTTGAAGGAGGTGATAGCACCCACATGGCAGGTGCAGCTGCCTCCTGGGGGGTGGGCTGGGGGCAGGGAGCCTGGGCCAGGATGGAGAGAGGATGCTGAATGGGGGAAGGTAACCATGTGCGGCCACCCACCGGACATCGTAAATGCCACTGTGAAACGAGAGCCTGGAGGATTCAGGGGGAGGGGCATCTCAGTGATGGGGCTGGG